GAATTCTTTTTCAGTGGGACTGGTCAGGTCTGTGTCCTTCTCAGTTGTTGTCTCTGTGATCTTTATCTGCCTGTAGTTTTGCCTTTTTATGGTGATAGAGATAGTTTGCAGAGCTGGTACGAGTGACCGCTGGAAGAGCTTCCCTTCTTGTTGGTTTGTGACCTTCCTCTTCTGGGAGAATAGCGACCTCTAGTGGCTTATGCTTGGCCGCTGTGCACAGACAGGGCTTCTGCTACCTGCCCATTTGCTATGGAGTTTATCTCTGCTGTTGCTGTGGGCGTGGCCTGGCTGGGGCTGCTCCTCCAAAATTGTGGAGCCCCATTGGAGGGGGAGTGGCCGGGAGGCTGTTTATCTCCGTAAGGGGCCTCTGTGCTCCCTATTGCCCAGGGGGTTAGGGTGCCCAGAGATCCCCAGGTTCCCTGCCTCTGGTCTAAGTGTCCTGTCCTGCCCCTTTAAGACTTCCAAAAAGCACTCTCCAAACCAAAACAACAACAGCAACAACGAAAGAGGAAAAAGGAAAGAAAAAAAAAAAAGGAAAATACGCGCAATTTTCTTTGTCCTCAGGCGCCGGTCCCAGGCACCCGCTCACCGGTCCTGCTGCCCTGCCTCCCTAGCACCGGGGTCCCTATCCCTTCAAGTCTTCCAAAAAGCACCCGCCAAAAAAAATAAATAAAAGGGAAAAACACCCGGTATCGTTTGAGGGACAATAGATTTTTACTCCGGTTGCAAACTTATGTGTAAATGTGCTCTTTATAAATCTGTGTTAGACATTTCACGCAGGCCCCCAGCTCAGCAGCATCGTAATCATCATGTCATGTTCTATGGATTTAGAAATTTTCCTTTTCTCAGAGACAGGATGTAGTTTTTTTAGACAAAGATTTGAACAAGAAATGTGATTCTTTTTGAAAAGTATAGAACTGCTCTAGTAGAAACACTCAACTTTTTAAAATTGTCCAGATTGACAGTTTGTCGCACATTAGTCATACTCCTGTAATTGTTTAAAATCATCTTCTATTTATTGTAGAGGGCCCTTAATGTGGGATGGTTCATGTACACCACGTATATACGTGTATCTATTAAAATGTTTCCTATATTTCAGTTTTCCATTATTTTTACACATACTGTAGTTGATATTTATCTTTTATAATGAATCTGGCTTGTTTTGGGAGAAAAACAGGACTATTAAAATGCATTTTACATTCATGTTCCTTATCTGCCTTAGACTAGGCCTTGATCCTATATGATAGATCTTCTTCTTTAATGTTAAAATATATCACTGACTTTTGGTGGACGTTGTGGATTTCATTTCAGGATGATCCTCTAGGAGTGTAGTCAGATTCTTCAGTAGGTGATGGCCTTTCTTAGGCTTTTGTTCTGGGCAACAACTAGAAGTCAGTGTAGGACCTAGTAAGATGTCATGTGAAAATCATAACCTACCCTTTTTAGAACCTTCCTCCTGTCCTTCCCCTTACATTTACAAGACTAAGCACTTGTTTCTGAGTTTTACATTTCCAGTGATTGTTCTTTGACTCCTCATCCAGGTAGAAGGTTACTTTTTGGTAATTTTTCTTATGAGGCGTTTTCAATGGACCTGGTCCCTGAAAGTCTGCCTTAAAAATACAAAGTGAATACCCCCATTTTGATTATTCATTAGGAAAATTTTCACACTATTCATGCTGTTGACATGATTTGCAATAGGCTTACAAGAGTGCATTTAAAGAATGCTTTATATATATGTGTGTGTGTGCACACATCATGCTTCAAATTGTTTATTTCAAGTTATGTGGCAACTTGTTAAGTTTTCAAAGGTGATATGAAGTGGTATTAGCCTTCACTGCTGTAAATTTGTAGGATTTTACTTTTTCTCTCCTTTAGCATTTCATTTTAATTTTTTACCTTATAATATATTTATTGCCAAATCTCTGTGTAATCTTGTTAACATTTTTTTATTATGATGATTACAGGTTCCCCTTCAACATGGATCTTTATTGACCTACATTTTTTTCTTCTTGCCACTGTATTCTTATTGCATTTTTTAGCACTTGATCAAGCTTCTATAACTTTCTTTTTGAAGTATTCCTGGAGTTTGTGATTTATAAAAATACAAAAACCATGACTGTATAAACCATTTTTTAATTGTGTCATCATACCCAGTTGTGATGATGCAGCTTAATAACTCCAAGGCTCTCTTTATGTATTTCAGGAATAAACCCTTGTTTTTCAATACAAACCTGATGATCTATGAGAAATTATGCATGCTGTGCAATAGAGAGACTCTAGGGTTTCATACTAGTACCTATATTCTGTTCATAAGAATTACACAAATAGAGCAATTTAAAATGATATGCTGGCAGTTATGGTTGGTCGTGCAGTCTTTCAGCTACATCCTAGTCTTTGGATAATCTGATTCCTAATTAGCAGTCCCTTAAGTGTTTCAAAAAAGCCCCAAGATGTAGTCTATTAATTATAATAGTAAATGTTTTTTATACTGAAACACTGAAAAATTTATACATTAAACATTAAAGTGTTTGAGGAAACCTATTTCCCAGTCTTTCTAATGCTCTTCCTTCTTATATTCTCCACTCTCCCAAAGTATTTCATTGTACTAAAGCTATGTGTGCTTAAATTTAGTATGAAAAATTTTAGTCATTTTTTATTCATCTTATTCATCTTGTTTGAAATTAAGATAATCTCTAAATCAATACATGGTAATTAAAGAAACCTATTAGAAATACTTGTTTAGTTGTAGTAGCTTCAGAAATAAAAAATTATGGTAGCTTAAAAAATATGAAAATGGTATTTATATTTTATTTCTACTCTGTTTAAAAGTGTCAGAAGTTCTTACTTGAATAACTAAGTAGAAGTGATATTTTTCAGAAAACATGCATGGATTCAGCTATGTGTCTGTTGGAAAATTTAAATAAGGGTGTGTTCTTTTAAAGCCTTTTAAACACCATTCATTTATGTTTTCATAATAATAATTACCTTTTCATGATATAGATCATTTTTATATAGTATGCTCATCACTATAAAAGACTTGAATTGAGCATATTTTCAACAAGCCACATGGCAGTCAGCAATACTCGTTAGGAGCTTACCTTCCACTTACAGCAACTGGAAATAAACGACTTTCGCGATTTTCTTCAATTATACAAAGTATTATGTGAGGATAAAAGCCAGAAATGGAAAGTATCTAAAATACCTCAGGTGTCCAGGAAAGATAACTGTAACTTTAGTAAAGTTACAGAGCTTGATGTAAAGATATGACACCTTTCCTTTGTATTTTTTTTTATAAAACAAAGTCACTGATGGTATATGTAAGTTAAAATTCTAAAACTGTGATTTTCAGGTATTTGCCAGCATTTTTATGCATGCATTGTGTAAAATCACATTACATATCAGTGTAAGGCATTTGTATCCTTTTGAGAAATAAAGGAATAATTTACTTGTGTCATTACTAGTTTTGACCATGAGGAGTTTATTATATTTAATTTACAGAACATTTGTTCGTGTTTTGGTGCATGTTTTGGAGTGTATGAAAGTTTGTGTTTCCCATTTTAGCATGTGCTTTTGTAATTTCTACATACTGAACTTCCTGAAGTTCTACTAAATGGAAGTATTTAGAAGTGGGATCCCTGTGTTAGTAAACAGTAAGTGTGTATAACGCTTCTAGAAAAGTCAAAATAGAAGACCCATATAATATTCTTGGAAAAGGTGCTTTTATAGTTGCATGTTTGAGATTTGGGTTTGTTGAGTTCAGATGTTAAAGTCATCTTCCATTAATCATTTATCAATCTGTATATTTCTCTTGCAGGAGAAATTTTGCAGTTCCATGTGCTAAGAACACCCCCAGGTCGAGGAAATGTTACTGTTAACTGGAAAATTACTGGGCAAAATCTAGAAGTCAGTTTTGCTAACTTTACTGGACAACTGTTCTTTCCTGAGGTAATACTGCAAATAGAAGATTTACTATACATATCCAGAGAAAACAGTGTATTTTGAGGAAAATGAGAAAACTCTGATTATGTAATATAAGGATTAAGAGAAGCTGATGGGAGAGCCTCTTGCTTAGAAACCTAAAGGAAAAACATTACTTAAAGAATTTGTAAGACTTAAGGAGTGGGTTTGTTTTTTCATATGTACTTGGTAGATCATTAAGGAAACAAAATGTTGACTTTGTATTTGAGCCAAGCTCTCTGCCTTATCTCCTGGCCTCACACTTTTGCTGTCACCTACGTCATTCTGATGACAGAGCTTGTCCCTCTTCTCTTAATTCCTTACTGTTTTGGGGCTCTAAGTGCATGACAACAAATGAATATAGGTACTAGTATGAAACCCTAGAGTCTCTCTATTGCACAGCATGCATAATTTCTCATAGATCATCAGGTTTGTATTGAAAAACAAGGGTTTATTCCTGAAATACATAAAGAGAGCCTTGGAGTTATTAAGCTGCATCATCACAACTGGGTATGATGACACAATTAAAAAATGGTTTATACAGTCATGGTTTTTGCATTTTTATAAATCACAAACTCCAGGAATACTTCAAAAAGAAAATTATAGAAGCTTGATCAAGTGCTAAAAATGCAATAAGAATACAGTGGCAAGAAGAAACAAATGTTTTTAGCTCTAAAAACAAATGTCATTTTAATGTCCTGTTCATACTATATTTTTCAGATTCCCTTTAGGGGCTCTTCCTGATTGTTTGAGGGAAGGTGATTGGTGGGAAATAACTATGTAAAGGTGTGGATACAAAATCAGCACCACTTCTTCGAAACTCTGTCATCTTCTTTTCTCCACACTTACTTGGTGTGAATTCTTGTTTGATAATATAGTTAGTTCTTTCCACTCCACTGCCTCAACAATAAGCCATCTCCCTGTAACCTTCTGCCTTGAGTATTGAATTGGATTCCTAATACCTGGTGTCTTGCCTGAGGGTTTTAGCACTGGGCAAGTTCACTGTGGATTCTATGAGACTGAGAAATGACAATGGAACATTCTTGGGGTAGAAGGGTTTATACTTGGCATTATTTTCCTGGCGTTGGTCAGGCACTTGAATCACATCTGCATCCAGCAGTCTGCAGGTCTGTAATCCACTCTGTCTCTGCCTCTGCCCAGAGCACTGGGAAGACCTTCTTATATAGTGACTCAGTCAATAAGGGCTGATTGCCTAGTAGTGTGGAAGTATTAGCCTAACAGTAGGCCAATAACATCAGCAAGTAGTTTAGGGTCATGGGAGGATTCTGGCCATAGGAACTTCCATTTTCCTCACACCTGATTTTCCTGCAACACTGGTCTTTGTTTCCATGCTCCAGTTTTCCCCATTCACCACTGCCATAGAATTCTCCCCAACTTACTGCTTCCCATGACATTGTCAATAGTGCTTCATTACTTATTGGATAAGATCTACATTCATCAGCTCAGCATTAAGAACCTCCAAATCTGCTTTAAGCCTGGTTTCCCATGAGTCAATGGAATTTGCTTATTTTTTAAGCCAGAGAGTTCTAAGTGAAAATGTATTTGGATGTATACTCTCTAAGGCCAACAAAGGCTGGAGATACTTTGTGTTCAATGTCAATGGAAGGATGAATGTTTCTGTTGACACAGGGATCATTGAATAGAACAATATTTGTGCATTTGTTGGATGATAACATTCCTGAGGAGAAAGAAGTATACCAAGTCATTTTGTATGATGTTAAGACACAAGGTAATTCAATTCAATTTTAAATATTTTTTTCTAGTATATAATTTTGTGTATGCTTTGAAGAAAATAAAACAATAGCTGCTATCTTATCTATTTTTAAATGGCAAAATTAGATGTATGCCATTTAAAAAATGTTACTGTCTTGCCAATGGATTTCAGCCCGGGACAATTTCACTATGGATTCAATTAGACCAAAAAAATGACAGTAAGATGTTCTTGGGGTGAAAGGGTTATATCTAACTTTATTCCCACGGTTAGCCGATCAGTTGCTAGAATCCTGTCCACTCAGAGCAAGTCTGTGTGCAGCAAGCTGGCCTCTGCCTCCGGGCTTCTCCATCCCTGCCGCCATCTCAGTCTCTGTCCTCAGCGCTGCCTCCACTCCAGTCTGCTCTCCTGCAGCCGTGCAGCCCAGAGCACTGGGTGGAGCTCTTTAATTAGAGTCAATAGAAATGTATTGCCCACACGTGTGGTGAGCTAGCCAACCAGGGCCAGGTGAGAATCCTGGCCATAGGAACCTTCACTTTCTCCACAGTCACTTTAAATACCATCTGTCCCATAAAAATGTTAGAGCAAGAAACATCAGCTCAGAATAGAAATACCTTTGTGGACTCAGAAAAAAAAAAAAAACTCTGAAAAAATTTCCTATGGAATAAAATACATTTCCAAAGGAAGAATTTTTCTGTAATTATAGTACCAGACTGATTTGGGCTTGGACCAGTTATATGGATAATTTAAATATAATCATTTTGAGCAAATTATCTGGGTACTTTCCTCAGTTTCTACTCAACTTCTGTAAGAGATGTCCAGTATAGCAATATAATGACAATAATACGTCAAGGGAAAGAATTCCTGATTTGCTGTCTAGAAGAAGAAAACTAAAATGTGGATTGTATTTGTCAACCTGAAGATTTCTTTTGAGGAGTGAACACAGTAGAACATGTTCTGGTTGCTTTAATACATTTCAGAGAGTGGGGTTATATTTTCAGTATTTAGAAGTTAATGCTAAACCACTGTTTGATTTTTGTGGTCCCTGACATTTTTAGGAGTTCCGCCAGCAGGAATCGCTTTGCTTGATGCTCAAGGATATGCAGCTGCCCTGACTATAGAAGCCAGTGATGAACCACATGGAGTTTTAAATTTTGCTCTTTCATCAAGATTTGTTTTCCTGCAAGAGTCTAATGTAACAATTCAACTTTTCATCAACAGAGAATTTGGATCTCTAGGTTTGTGTTACTCTTGAGTAAATGGAGTTTTCAGGCAGATAGTTTTTATTTTTTTAATGTTCTACTTGTGTGGATAAAAGCCATTGCTAAAATTAATCAGGGTCAGGGAAAAATATAGCATTAATTCAGGACAGGACTTTATAACTTACTTATTTTTGAAAGATTGAAGGGGTTTTCTATTGTCACAAAAATACTATGTAATAATCAATCATAAAACCTCAGCAACAAATAATAGGCTGTTCATGGGTCCATTAATGTGGGTTGGGCTTGACCATGGGTGGCTCTACTCCATATGCCTCTCACTCTTCTGGAACCAGTAAAGGCACAAGAAAACAAACACACTGCAGGTCCACTGAGGCCTGGACTTAGAACTAGCATATCATTGCTTTTACCTTGTAAGTCAGCCAGGGCAAGTCACACAGCCAAAATAAGAGTCTGCAGGCAGGGTAGTGTGCCCTGTCCACATGTGGGCATCACTGAGTCATTACATGGTAAAAGCCAAAGGTACAGGAATAGGTGAGGAACTGGGGCAAATAGAAGCTATTACAGGTGCTTTAAGGAAAGTCAAGAAATTCATACTGAGAGATACTTTTATTTTAAAAGTTTAAATAAATGTAAAATCTTTTCCCATGCAATTCAATTAGGAGCAGTTAATGTCACATATACCACAGTTCCTGGGATGTTGAGTCTAAAGAACCAAACAGAAGGAAACCTAGCTGAGCCGGATGCTGACTTTGTCTCAGTAGTTGGCTTTCTGATTTTAGAAGAAGGGGAAACAGCAGCAGCCATCAACATTACCATTCTTGAGGTAAAATTCTTGTTTCCACTATTACTGTTTTTAACCTGAATAACCTCACAGAATGTAGAAACTGATGGAATATTCTTGTACCTTTAAATCAGCTTATTTTTGTGATTTTTTTTTAACCATACAGGAATTTCTTATGTAGATATGTTGATCTGCTTTTGGGTATTTTATTATAGAAACATCTTGTGATAGAGAATTCTCTTAGGGTACGCCTCTTTAAAATGCCATTGGCCTAAGCAATTCCTAAGGAGTATTTTGATTACTCCAAAGGTTTCATTGGATGAGCAATCCATGTAGGTCAGCAACTTAGTTAGGACTGGTTAAGTTAAGGATAGTGAGAAACTCACTAGATCCTGAATGCATAAAGTGTGATTACCAGAGAACTTAATCATTGGTTACTGAAATTATGTTTTAAATGATTTTTTTATATTATGAGATCTTCTGCTGTTTAGTGTTTCAGCTCCTTGAGTATATTTCCAAGAGGTTTATGAAAATAGTACATATAGGTAGGGTAGGAAATGGTATTTGGTGGGGAGAAGGAAAGAGAAATAGAGGGAATGAACATTGCCTTAGAAAAGTAGTTTTCAATTACTATGTATTTTTGTAGGTTCCATTTAAAAAAGGCTTTCTTTCCTCAAAGCTTTTTACTTTTCCAAAATTGTAAGTAGTATAAACCATACACCATTTGAAGTCACTAGCTTTTGTTGATTCCCATGGCACTATGACCTAATATAATAGTATGAGAACTCTAAAGCCATAAGATAAAAAGTAATAGTATGTCACTATGTAACATACAACACAGACGTGGTAAAACTTTAAGTTTTTTTTTAAGTTATATAATCAATGTAACAATATAAAGTTGATTATTCCTCAGTTACATTAGTTCTTAAAGCAGGAAATGTATAGCTGCTCTTCTCTTTACAGTCCAGTTTGTTGAAGACAAGGCTACCAGTTCCTTTTTTTTCTCCCTAGGTATTTGTAGCCCTTCCTGCTCCCTGAATAGCATGAGATTGAGAGACTGCACCCCCAGATATAAGTCAGACTGCGGGTGATAAGGGAAGAGTTGTTCCATGGGGGTGGAGCATAGTGGGGGTAGGTGGGCCAGGGTCCCTTTTACATCACTGATTCTGTCATTCACATTGATCTGTATATTATATAAGATGGTTTAGAGATTGTGATCTTTTTCTTATTTCTTCACATGGAAATATATCTTCATTAAATAAAAGGAAGACAGAAGTGTATGTTGGTGTATATATACTCATGTAACCATTGTGTTTCTGTGTAAATGCTGTTGGCTGTCTGGTCTCTACTGACATGGGTTTTGTTAGTTCCCTCATGTTTTGAGCCTTATTTTCAGGGCTGTTATGTGGACTATTGATCAATAGTAATAGTGTATTAAAGTTAACCATCATGAATAGCTATCATTTTTTTTACTGAAGTGTCATTGGTCTACAATCTTATATTGGTTTCAAAATATACAACACAGTGGTTCAACAGTTATCCATATTATTAAATCCTCACCCCCTCTGGTTTGGTTACATCTGTCTATGTATTACGTTACAGAATCATTGACTATATCTCAATACCATTCCCATGATCAGCTTATAATGTGATTAAAAATTATTGTGCCTTTTTAGTTTTTTAAAGATATTTTTTATTTTTTTAAAGATATTTTTCCTTATGTTATCTTCTGTGAGTTTTGTGGTTTCATGACTTACATTAAGGTCTTTGATCCATTTTGTGTTTACTTTTGTATATGGAGTTAGACAGTAGTCCAGTTTCATTCTCTTAGATGTAACTGTCCAGTTTTCCCAATAACAGTTGTTGAAGAGGTTGTCTTTTTCCCATTATATATTCATGCTGCTTTACATTTATTAATTGACCATATATGCTTGGGTTAATATCTGGATTCTCTGTTCTGTTCCATTAATCTGTGGGTCTGTTCTTGTGCCAGACCAAACTTTTTAAATTACTGTAGCTTTGTAGTACAGTTTGAAGTCAAGGAGCATAATCCCCTCAGCTTTGTTATTCTTTCTCAGGGCTGCTTTGACTATTTGGGGTCTTTTGTGATTCTGTGTGAATTTTAGACTATTTGATTTAGTTTGTGGGAAAATGCTGATCATATTTTGAAAGTGATTGCATTGAATCTATGAACTACTTTGGGCAGGGTGGCCATTCTGACTGTTAATTCTTCCTACCCATGAGCATAGGGTAGATTTCCATTTATTGGTGTCTTCCTTAATTTCTCTTACTAGTCTCTTAACAGTTTTCAGGATATAGCTCTTTCACCTCTTTAGTTAGGTTTATTCTTAGATATTTTATTCTTTTTGACGCAATTGTAAATGAAGTTGTTTTCCTGATTTCTCTTTCTGCTAGTTTGTTGTTAGTATATAGGAATGCAACAGATTTCTGTGTATTAATTTTGTATCCTGCAACTTTGCTGAATTCAGTTATTGGTTCTAATAGTGCTTTGGTAGTCTCTTTAAGGTTTTCTATGTATATATATATCATGTCATCTGCAGATAGTGACAGTTTTAACTTCTTCCTTACCACTATGGATGCCTTTTATCTCTGTTGTCTGATTGCCATAGCTGAAGACCTCCAGTACTATGTTGAAGAAAAGTGGTGAGAGTGGACATCCTTGTCTTGTTCCCAGTCTTAGAGGAAACACTTTCAGCTTTTTGTTATTAAGTATGATTTTGGCTGTGGGTTTGTCATACATGACCTTAGTATGTTGAGGTATGTGCCCTCTGTGCCTATTTGTTGAGAGAGTTTTTGTGATGAATAAATACTGAATTTTGTCAAATGCTTTCTCAGCATCTGTTGGGATGATCATGTGGTTTTTGTCCTCCTTTTTGTTACTGTGGTGTGTGATACTGAATTGATTTACAAATATATACCATCCTTGCCTCCCTGGAATAAGTCCCACTTGGTCATGATGGGTGATCCTTTTGATGTATCTTTGAATTTGGTTTGCTAATACTTGTTGAGGATTTTTGCATCTGTGTTCATCAGGGATATTGGTCTGTAATTTTTTTGTGTGTGGTGTCTTTGTCTGGTTTGGTATTAGAGTGATGCTGGCTCATAGAATGAGTTTGGAAATATTCCCTCCTCTTCTACTTTTTGGAATACTTTAAGAAGGATGGGTATTAGCTCTTCTTTAATTGTTTGGTAGAATTCAGCTCTGAAACCACATGGAACTGGAATTTTTTATTTTTTATTTTTTATTTTTGGGAGTGTTTTGATTACTAATTTGATTTCATTGTCGGTAATTGGTCTTTTCAGATTTTCTGTTTCTTCTTGAGTCAATTATGGAATGTTATGTTTTCCTTGAAACTTGTCCCTTGGTTTTTCAGTTTATTGGCATATAATTTTTCAAAGTCTCCTCTAATACTTATTTGTACTTCTTTGGTGTCCTTTGTGATTATTCCTACTTTGTTTTCTATTTTGTCTATGTGTGTACTCTTTTTTTCTTGATAAGTCTAGCTAGAGGTTTATCTTTTGTTTATTTTCTCAAAGAACCAGCTCCTGGTTTCATTGATTTTTTTCCTTTCTGTTGTTTTATTCCTCTCAATTTTATTGATTTCTGCTATGATCTTTATTATGTCCTGCCTTCTACTAACTTTGGGGTTCATTTGTTCTTTTTCTTGTTTCTTAAATTGTGAGTTTACAGTCTTTATTTGGGATTGTTCTTGTTTCTTTAGGTAAGCCTGTATTGCTATGTATTTCCCTCTTAGAACGAACCACTTTTGTGGTGTCCTATATATTTCAGACATTCTTTTTCTGTTTTCCCCCCATCTGTTGCTTGATTTCTGTTTTGATTTGTTCATTGATCCCTTAATTAATCAGAAGCATGTTGATTAGCCTCAATGTGTTTATAGGTTTTTTTTTGTTTTCTTTGTATAATTTCTAGTTTCACACCATTGTGGTCTGAGAAGCTGCTTGATACAATTTCATTCTTTTTGAATTTATTGAGGCTCCTTTGTGGTCTAGTATGTGATCTATTTTGGAGAACATTTCATGTACACTTGAGAAAAATGTATATCCAGCTGATTTGGGGTAGAATGTTTTGTAGATACTTGTTAAGTCCATCTGGTCTAATATATTGTTGAGTGCCTCTGTTTCCTTCTTTATTTTCTGTCTGGTTGATCTGTCTATTGATGTGAGTGTTGTGTTAAAGTCTCCTAAAATGAATGTGTTGCAATCTGTTTCCCTCTTTCGTTCTGTTAGTATTTGTTTTACATATTTAGTGCTCCTGTGTTGAGTGCATAGATATTTATAATGGTTATATCCTCTTGTTGGACTGCCCCCTTTATCATTATATAATGTCCTTCTTTGTCTCTTGTTACTTTCTTTGTTTTGCAACCTACTTTGTCTGATATAAGTACTGCTACTCCTTTTTTCTCCATATTGTTTTTTTTTTGAGGGCATCTCTCATATTTATTGATCAAATGGTTGTTAACAACAATAAAATTCTGTATAGGGTAATCAATGCTCAATGCACAATCATTAATCCATCCCCAGCCTAATTCTCATCAGTCTCCAATCTTCTGAAGCATAAAAAACAAGTTCTTACATGGTGAACAAATTCTTACATAGCGAATAAGTTCTTACATGGTGAACAGTACAAGGGCAGTCATCACAAAAACTTTTGGTTTTGATCAGTCATTATAAACTATAAACAATCTCAGGTCAAATATGAATATTTGTTTGATTTTTATACTTGATTTATATGTGAATCCCACATTTCTCCCTTTATTATTATTATGTTATTTTTAATAAAATGCTGAAGTGGTAGGTAGATGCAAGATAAAGGTAGAAAACATAGTTTAGTGTTGTAAGAA